CTATAGTGATTTGATATGTGTATATTGCAAAATGATCACTATAATCAGGTTAGTTAGCATCCATCACTGTAGGTAGTCTTTTTTCCTTCTGATGAGAACTTTTAAGATCTACTCTCTTAACAGCTTTTAAATATACAATACAGTATCGTTAACTATAGTCACCATGCTGTAGATCCAGCCTTTTTTTTTTTTCAAATGGCGGTACTGGGGATTGAACCCAGGACCTTGTGCATGCTATGCACGTGCTCTACCACTGAGCTATACTCCCCCCCCAACATCCAGCCTTTTTTTAAAATGATAGACATGATGGTACTCGATCACACTCCCACATGGCAGCAGTTACCTGGTGCGCAGTAGCCCCTGCTCCTGTACACAGAGCGTGCAGTCTGCTCTGCCACAGTCCCCACCACTCCGTGTGCTCTCCCTGGGCCCACCACACTCATTCATGTTCATTTGTCCCATCCCTTTGACATCTGGGTTCGGGACTCCTGCCCTAACCCTCTTCTCAATCTGTTCCCCACCATTCTCCTAGGTTTCTACTTGTTCTCCCCGGATCCTTCAGACCCCGTAAGTAATCGGCGTGTTCATCTGTTTTGAGGCCTTTCCCCTCAGACAGGGCGGCTGGACCGACCTCCTTGCCCCGTTAGGACGGGACGCCCTGCCTGGTTTCTCTTCATAGCTTATGGCACCCAAAAGTTCCCCGTTACCCAGATTTGAGCCATTGCCTTCCTCCAGTGCCAAGGGGATTCCCCTGGCCAATCTTTGAGAAGGGTGTTTACACAATCAGCTTTGGAACATTGGGACATTTTGGCAGAGAAGCAGTGGAAGGAGAGCCCAGCTAACTGTGCAAACATGTGATTCTCTGGGAGAGGAGTCCCAGAGCCAGTTGTCTGCTTCTGCCGGGAGCATTGAGCTCAGGAAGGAGGCCTGGGAGCCCATGTTTGCTTGTTCCTCTGCCATCCTTCGGGGATCCCCTGGGAAGAGGAAGGAATGGGGGGAGGTGCTCCGGAGGTGGCCCGCCGCACGCAGCCCATTCCTCAGCCTGGCGCCCACGTGTCCTCCTTCCCCCCTTCCCCCCGCAGTACTTCAGCACCCTGGAGAACAGCATCATCAGTCTGTTTGTCCTTCTGACCACAGCCAAGTAAGTTCGGGCTCTGCTTTTGCTCTGCCCTCTGCTAGTGCCCAGGGTCCTCTCCTCTTTTCAGCCAAGAATATTTCACATCTTGGCCCAGACAGGTGCTCAGGGCCCCCTTGAGGGATGGGAGTGGCCTGGCCAGCTGAGCGTCAGGGAGAGGGGAGGGGGCTGGGAAGGCAGAAAAGAGAGATGTCCTTGGAGAAGACAGAGACCAGCAGGCGCCGGCCCAGCGGGTAACGCTCTGCAAACACAGTTTCCCAGACGTGATGATGCCGTCCTACTCCCGGAACCCCTGGTCCTGTGTCTTCTTCATCGTGTACCTCTCCATCGAGCTGTACTTCATCATGAACCTGGTGAGTGAGCTTGCTCTGCGTTCTGCTGGAGCAGCCCTGGCCCACACTATGCTGGGCACCGTGGGATGGAGAGGTAGGGACGGCCATCGGCCTCCAAGGGCAGAATGCTGGGGAAGGAGGTCCCAGACCATAGTCAAGTATGGTGTGGCTGGAAATACCCTGCTGGGACTTGAGTTTAGCTGGTGACCAGCCATGGCAGCCTCCTGGGGTTAGTACTGCCTCTGACGCTGCTGATCGTGCTGGGGTTTAAACCAAAGCTACCCTGGGACTGTCTCCTTCTCACAGCAAGCATATAATAACTATAAAAGCTGGTACTTAACTAGCCTTAGCCAGGCACCGTGCAAAGTGCCTTACGGATGAGGGTTAAATCATTTCACTCCCAGACCCTGGAGGTCTCATTATGATTCTCAGTTTATAGATGAGGAGACTGAGGATCAGACTGATAGCGACTTGCCCGCAGCTGCACAGCTCAGGGTGGCCAGACGAGCTGGTCTGATCCCAGAGCCCTGCTCTTAACCTCACCATCCCACTGCACCCACGTGCAAGCAGTGTTTAGTGTATTTCCACCCCGTTTATCACAGATTGTTGGGAAATTCGGTAGAGAACACATTCCTTTCTGTCCCCCTGCCCACGGGGAACTTTGGAGGTGTTTGTGGAGGCTCGGCTGGCCACCAGGAATGTTCCTGCCATCAGCAGATTGCCTCTGAAACTGGGCATCAGGCCGCTGCCAAGACTACGTCAATGCCAGGATTGTCAGGGAGAGGCCTTTATCAAGTCTTGCGTTTATTTTTATGGTTCTGAGGCACATTCTCACACCAGTCACCACAGCCAGGCCCAGTATAGAAATGGAAAACGTTTTCTCTGGGGTAGACTTGTAAAATTTAAAAATGTGAAGTTCTAAAAATGAAAATATTTTCTTTTTTTTAATTCCTCCAAACCCAAAATAAATACGTTGGGTATCTCTTCGTACATCTTACAGGTCTTACAATGTTGTTAGTTTAGAATCATAAAAATAGTATCGTATGCAATTAATTTGCTTTAATTGGTAAGATATTTAGAGCTATGAAAATCTAGGGCATGGGTCAGCAACCAGTGCTGAAACCCAGCCTACCACCTGTTTTTTTCTCAATAAAGTTTTATTGGCACATGGCCGCACCCGCTCATTTACATATTGTCCGTGGCTGTTTTCGTGTTACAGCTGCAGGGTTGAGTGATTTTGACAGAGACCATCTGGCCTGCAGAGTCTAAAGTATTATAAAGTATTAGCTCTCTTGTCCTTTACAGAAAAAGTTTGCTGGCTCTGCCTTGCTCTAAAGGGATATATGGTAGACCATTTTGAAGGGATGGAAAGAATAAGAGAGTTCCCCTCAAAACACTTTAGAAAGAAAAAGAGTTTCCAAAAAGGCTCCCTTCTAATTCCGCTCCTGCCCTCCCATCGCCCTCTGATGACATGGACTGTGTTGCTCCTGTGCTAACTTTGCAATTAGACAGTTCTAGAACCACGTGCCCTTGTGGGCAGGCCACCTGCTGCCCCTGATTCCTGGGGCCATGCACGACGGGAGACCTCCCATGAGAGGGAACAGGGGGGTGAGGGAGGAAGCGTCCAGCACAGTGATGTTCCTTCCTGCTCCAAGGTTGGGAGGGCACAGGATGGACACACAGCCTCCCTGGCCATCGTATGGAGCTGAATTGGGCAAAGAACCCAGCGTGTCCCCCTCACTGCTTCTCTCCCCTTGTAAAACTGCCCAGCCAGGGACAAGCCATTGGCGGAGGGAAGGACAACTTGGGGAAAATATAATTAATATCTTGACGAATCTGTAGAGGGGAAACTGACAAGGGGCAATGAATGACCTTCTGCTGAGACTTGGAGACAAACTTCCTACCTTACACAGGGCAGGGGAGAGGGTCTTCTGAGCACCCCTTCTGGGGTGGCTGGAAGAGTGCCATCTGGAGGCGGGGGTGCCAGGTCTCTTGCTTTTCACTCACAGCTTCTGGCCGTGGTGTTTGACACCTTCAATGACATCGAGAAACGCAAGTTCAAGTCTTTGCTGTTGCATAAACGAACCGCCATCCAGCACGCCTACCGCCTGCTCATCAGCCAGCGGGTAGGGGGCGGGGCCTGGGCCAGGGAGGTGGGTTGGTCCCTGCTCTACCACCACTGCCTCCTTGAAGTCCCTATGTTTGAGGGTGGGTGGGTAGCAGCTTTAGAAACTGGGAGTCCTGCCTTTGGGAGAACAAGAAAGAGCAGGGCGTCCTGGGATCCGGGATGTGCTGGGCAGCCTGTGTGGCTGCCCCCAAGGGAAGGGGCATTCTGGGCTCTGCATTTTCCTGGGTTCCACCTGGCCATCTTCCCTCCCCACAGAGGCCTGCTGGCATCTCCTACAGGCAGTTTGAAGGCCTGATGCGTTTCTATAAGCCCCGGATGAGCGCCGGGGAGCGCTATCTTACTTTCAAGGCATTGAATCAGAGCAGCACGCCTCTGCTCAGGTAAGACCGATGCTAGGTGGGCACAGTGTGGCTGGACAAGGCGTTTGCAAGAGGGAGCTGGGTCGTGCAAAGGCCCTGGGGTTTGGGCAGGCAAAGAGGCTTTTAAAGACTTTATTTTCTTCAGAGATTCTTAGACAGGCAGACCCTATTCAACAAGATTCTTTTTACAAATGACAAAAGTCTTACCCAAATCCAATTTACACTTTCTTGACAAAAAAGGACTGTATTGACTCATGAAATGGGCTGGCCCAGCTGCTCACCCTCGAGCCACAAACAAGGTGGGGTAGTTGCATGTGAGCAGATTCACAGAGTGACGTGAAACACACACAGACACACACACACACAGAGCCCTGGCACAGCCTCAGGGCACGGCCTCTGACCTCTCCATGGGCAGCCTTGGTCTTCTGATGGCTGACAACCAAAACCTTTCTTCTTCTTTTTTAAAATTTTGTGTTGAGGGGAGGTAATTAGATATTTATTTATTTTAATGGAGGTACAGGGGATTGAACTCAGGACCTTGTGCATGCTAGGCACACACTGCCCTTGAGCCATACCCTCCCTGCAAAACCCTTCTTTGTGATTCGAGAAGAAGCAGGCCTGCTACAGAGACAAGAGGGAGCAGGCCCTGTGTGGTCTGAACTGTCAGCCTCAGTTGTTCCATTAAGTCCTCTGCTGAAGGAGGCTTAGTCCCCATCCATCTAAGAATGCTGTTAATCCAGGGGCTGCCTCTCAGGGGGATGGAAGCTGGCAGCCGGCAGTGTAGACCAAGTGAATTAAGTATCCATAGTACTTGGAAGAAGGAGGAGGTCAGATGCCTGCAGGTACGGGTCCCCTGGGCCCTGATGAGCTGGTATCCCCAGATATCGCCTCCTGCCCTCCCACCCTCACCACTCGAAGGTGACTACAGGCAGGCGAGTGAGAGGACTGAGGCTCAGTGGGAATGTGTTCTGATCTCTTTTTTGCCTTTTCGTGTTGCTTATGGTAGCCTGAAGGACTTTTATGATATCTACGAAGTCGCCGCCTTGAAGTGGAAGGTGGGTGCTCTTGTGAGACCAGGGAGGGGGCGAGCAGACACTCCACGGGAGGTGGGTGAGGCCAGGAGGCACCCAGGCGTCCTGTTCCTTCCCTTTTGAGCTGCTTGGCTCTCCGCTGGGTGCTGTGCGCTGTAGGGTTAACAGGTGGCCCCTGGCCCTTCCATCTGCAACGTGGTTAAGCACTGAATCTCAGTTAGACCCCACGAGTCACTGTGTGACATCAAGCAGGTTACGGAACCTTTCCAAGGCTTGTCTCACCTGGGAAATGGGATTATGAGAATCCCTACCCACAGAGTTATTTTCAGGATTATGTAAAATTATTGCTGGTGCGTGGCACGTTGAAAATCTCAGCAAACATTGGCTGGCTTCGTTGTTCTTTACATCCCCGAGTGTTTTCACTGTTCCCCAAGTTAGCTGGGAGAGCAGGGAAGGGAAGCAGTTTCCTGGCCCCCAGGGCTGGGTTCTGGTCACTGGTCCTAATGCCCTCTGCCCCATGGCCCTGTTCCCTGGCCAGGCAAAGAAAAATAGAGAGCAGTGGTTTGACGAGCTTCCCAGGACAGCGTTCTTCATCTTCAAAGGTAAGGTCCATCTGGATACGGTACCTCGGCAGCTGGGGACGGACAGAGGTTTCTGGAGACCCCAGATGAGCATTTGAAGAGCTTGTTCAGAGTTTGTGTGTGTGAATGTCTGTGTGTGTAAAAGAGACAGAGTATAATTATTGCAGCAGGGAAATACTGTTGGACTAGGAAGGCAGTCAAGAACAACAACAACCCCCCCCCCAAATTTGTGAAATATTTATTCATTGAAGAACATTGATACAAAGTCAGATAATTAGAAGAAAATGGAACTGTCCCAGCCAGAGATGACTCACTGTTAATTTTCTCATGTGTTTTCTTCTGCTGATGGTTTTTCTTCTGTGCATTTTAAAAACAGGAGTGGGGTTACATTATATATTCTGTTCTGAAACCTGCCTTTTATCTAATAATGGAGTTTGACTTTCCTCCTGGGGCAAGATACAGAGCTAGTGTACATGATCCCTTATGTGACATTTGCATAGGATAAAGTTCCAAATTTTAAAGCCAGAGTGCCTCTATTATTTACCTAATAGGTTTCCCTGAATTTAATGCCAGTTTTGAAGTTCCGCAAGGGGTATGGTTAGCTCCCGGGGGTCCAGGCCATTATGAATAAGAGTTAAGATGGTGTCTCCTATTTTGTGATTTCTCCCACAGCTGGGGCTTTGGGCACAGCTGTTATTATTCCATATTCTTTAGCATCTTTCCCACCCATTGGGATGATAGGTACTCAAGTGGATGAATAAACAGTGCCGGGTCTAGGCCAGGAGCAAACTTAACGTCTCAGCAGTGGCCAACAAAGCTTTGTTCTGCTCTGTCCCGGCTCCAGGTTGTCCAGGCCCTCCCCAGCATAGCTGTTGCCAGTTCAGTCCTGTCCAGAGGTCTGGGCACAAGTGTGGGAGTCCCTCTGAGAGCAGCCTCCTTATTCACCCCCGGGCAAAAACACCCTGGTTGCTTAACCTGCGTGACGTATGTGGTAGGGGAATGCGTACTTGTGTATGAAAATTTCACTGTGAACATCTCTTCTCTTCAAATAGGAATTAATATCCTTGTGAAGTCCAAGGCTTTCCAGTACTTCATGTGTAAGTGTGAAATATCATAGCTTGAGGTACCTTTCCTCCCGATCCTTTCTGCTCCAGAAGGTGGCAGGGCAAGAGAGAAATCTGGCAATCCTGATGTTAGCTTTTTAGTATAGAAAATTCCAAGCGTGTATCAAAGTGGAGAAATTATAATGGGCGTCCACGTACCCAGCACCCAGCTTCAACAGTTATCATCTCATGGCCTGCCTTTCTTGTCCGTCTGTCCCCTCACTCCAGCTCACCAGCCCCTCTCTGGAAACTGGAGTTTTTGGAAGCAAATTCCAGAACCACAGAGCGTGGTTGGTTGATATGTCACTTCAGTCTATTTAAATCTTTAGGTTTCTCTTCCATCTGTTCTTTTTCCCTCTTGCAACGTTCAGTTGAAGAAATAGGATTGTTTGTCCTTCAGTCTTATTTTCGCATGTTCCTCTGTTGCTTATTTCCTGTAATTTGGTAGTTAGAGCCACAGCTATATTGTCCAGTGTGGCAGCCACTGGCTACCTGTGACTACTTAAATTTAAGCTAACTAAAATTAAAAATTCAGTTCCCGTCACAATAGCCACAGTTCAAGTGCTCGATGGCCACACGTGGCTAATGATGAGCAAATGGACAGCACAGATGCAGAAATTTCTACCCATCTAGAGGCTTGATTAGATGCAGTCTTTCTAAGGAGCTCTGGTTCCCTTGAATGGTGTTTAGAGACCACAATCTGAGACACTAGAGGTCTCATTGCTTGGAGTTGATTGTTGTTTCTAGGCCTTTCCATGGACAGAGGCAGGATTTTGTTTTTGTTTTTATTTTTTTTCAAAGATAAACTATATCGTGAGTTTATCCTGATATTCTCAATTCGAATTCCAGACTATAGGGTTTTTATCTAACTTCATCATTCTTTCACATCTAGACGCCCAGTTTTAAAGTCCTGGTTCCCAACAACACAGATTCAGCCCCTCCACTGCTTTATCCCCCAGTCCATACAGAAGAGTCTCCAAAAAAACCCAATCCAACACAACCCTAAGAATATAATTGTATGCCACTCCAGGGGTATGCATTCAGATGACTGTGTTTTAAGGTCAACTGGAATAGTTTTCCTCCATGTGGGTATGTCACCAACTAGATAAAAATACAATAAAGAAATTTTTTAAAAAATTATGTTTAGTAACTGGGAGAATACAGCTCAGTGGTAGTGTGCATGCCCAGCATACACAAGGTCCTGGGTTCAATCCCCAGTACCTCCATTAAATAAACAAACAACAAACAAACCTAATTACTCCCCCCAACAAAAAAGAAAAAAAAATCTTTTTAGGGATTACTTTTTACATTTAATTTTGCTTTATAATTATGTAAAATATGTATATGATTCCAAATCAGATCTACAGACCAAAGTGTGTTCAAGAAAGTCTCATTTCCATCCTGTTCCCTCCCTCAGTGGGTAACTTTCATTTTGGTTTATCCTTCCATTATTTAAAAAACTATAAGTGGATATGCATATACGCATATTTCTGTCTTACATAAACTAGCATAATTTACTCACTTTTTTCAACCTTGCTTTTAGTTAACGATACACCCTAGATAAATTGGGAGTTCGAGAATTGCTAATGTTAAGTACTACATATAAAATAGATTAAAAATACAAAATTTCTTCTGTAAAGCACAGGGAACTATATTCACTGTCTTGACTAACCTATGATCAAAAGGAATATGAAAACAAATATATCTATGTATATGTATGACTGAAACATTATGCTGCACACCATAAATTGATACATTGTAACTGACTATACTTCAATAAATTAAACAAACAAACAAACACAATACATCCTAGAGACCACACCATATAACTATACAGAGATGTTCTTTATTTTCATAGTCAATAGTACCCTGTTTTCATGAACATATCATAGATTATTCATCCCGTCCCCTACTGATCATTTAGGATGTTTCTAGGTTTTTTGCGGTCACAAATAGTTCTTCCAAAAAAAAAAAGTTTTTCAGTGGATAGCTTTCAGTACACATCATTTTGTGTCTTTGCTAATGTCTTACTGGGCTGGATCCCTGAAGGTGTTATTGCTAGCCAAATGCACATGCAGGTTTTACTAACTAGTTCCTGCAGTGATTTAAAAATCGGGTATCAAGCCTAGGGGAAAAAAAATTTTCAATACTCACATCCTATGTATATTACACCAACTTGGAATAATCTCTAGGTTTTACTGAAACATCTTAACTAGTATCCCTATAGGGACAGAGTGAGTTTTTAGAAATCTGTGGCTGTTTTCTTTTATTTTTTGTTTCGGGGGAGGTAATTAGGTATTTATCTTTTGGTGGAGGTCCTAGGGATTGAACCCAGGACCTTGTGCATGCTAGGCACACGCTTTACCACTCAGCTCTACCTCCCCTTCTGTAGCTGTTTGGTAAGTGAAGCCACTGGTCGATTTAGCTCATGATAAAAGCATTAAGCAGGAAAAAGTTACCTATTATATGGGTGTATGGAGCAGCCCTGCTCTCTGAACATCTCAGAGCTGCGTAGAAACTAACCAGGGGCTGCTGCTGTGACCTGTACGTTTCCACACCCGCCTGTGCTTTCTCTGTTGCAGACTTGGTGGTGGCCGTCAACGGGGTCTGGATCCTTGTGGAGACCTTCATGCTGAAAGGTGAGCCCGGCTGGGGGACTGGCCCATCCCGTGGGTACACCTGGCCCACCTCTTGAACTGCTGCCTCTCCGTCTCACAGGTGGGAACTTCTTCTCCAAGCATGTGCCCTGGAGTTACCTCGTCTTTCTGACTAGTAAGTTTCTGACGTGGCTCTGCTCGCCTGCTTATCCCAACGCCTGGCTAGAACTCCCTTTTGGGTTAGGGTACCACGGCTCGTCTCCAAAACCAGGAAGCTTAGTGAGAGTGGAGGTGAAATCGAGTCTGATTCTATCCTCCCCATGTTTCATACTCCTTGGTGGGTCTCCACTGCCCTCCGGACCAAGTCCCCATCCTGAGTGCGACTCGTGGAACCACACGGGGTACCTTCAGCCTTCCTCTCAGGCATCATCTTTTGCTGCCACTGCTGCCTTTACCCCACCTGCAGCCTCTTGGACACATCCTGCTCCCCAGGGCCCCCAGGCCCTTTCTCACCTCTGTGCCTCTGCATGGGGGGTTCATCTGCCCGGTGCACTTGCCCTCTCATCAGACTCCTCTGCCTGACACCCTTCTCCTCATTTTATGTCCAAACTTCCTCAATACACTGCATCCCAAATTGTTTTCACTGTTCTTAAAAAGTATTACTTTTACTGCCTTGATCCCTGCCCCTTGGCTTTTTCTACAGAGTTCAGAGTAGCATAGTGATTCAGTGCACAAACTGGGATCAGAAAGACCTGGGATCTCTTCCCAACTGTGTCTCTTGTGTGAGCTGATGCCGCCCCCTGCCTCTCTCTTCACTTCCTCCTCTCATTATGTTCCAGTGACCCTGACCTTCCTTCTGTCCCTCAAGCAGGCCAAGATCATATCCAGCTTGGCCCCTGATTCCTTCAAATATAACACTCTTCCCCCAGTATAACACAGCTGCTGGCTGGATTTCCCCCGAGTCCAGACTCTAAGCTCTGTGTTGTTCACTGCTGCACACCCAGCGCAATGCCTGGCACAGAAGAAGAGCTCAGGAAATAGCTGTCGGATGGACGGATGATGGCTGGACCACTCCCAAAGTGGGGGAGTGAGTCCTTCTCATGTTAGCAGGCAGCCCCAGCTGGCCAGCATCTGGGCCAAGCCCTGCTCCGGAGCTACACTCTCACGGGGGGCGTGGGTGTGACGTGGCCGCCTGGAGGGCACGCGGCCAGACCTCGGATGACTCCCGAGGTGGAAACGGACCAGGCCAGCTGTGGGAGAGGCTGTGGTGGGCTGCTGCTAACTGCCTTCTCCTGTTCACAGTCTATGGGGTGGAGCTGTTCCTAAAAGTGGCCGGGCTTGGCCCCATTGAGTACCTGTCCTCTGGATGGAATCTGTGAGTAGAGAGCATGTTTCTTAACCACGTGGGAGACTGTAATGGAAGCCCCGGGTCCTCCCTCCACACCCACAGCACAGTTTCAGAAGGAAGGTCCAAGGACAGGCCAAGGCCTCTGTCTCCTGGAGCAGTTCTGCCTGTGGCTCCAGGACTCCCCAGAGTCCGACTCTTGTCTTGGTTTCTCAGGCCACCCCCGCCCATCCCTCCTGGACGTGGCCTCTTGAGTGTCCTCAGGCTGGCTGGCTCTTCCTGAGTCACTTAACCCTACACCCCTCTCCGGCAACTAAGCTCTTTCCTCCTCCATAAAAACCACGATGCCCCCAGAGAAGGAAATGCCACCACGTCCCGATGCTCTGTCAGCATTGAGCAGGTGGCCCTTCTCCCCCTTCCAGAGACCCCGAGACGCCACTCGCCGCCCACGAAAGTTAACTCAGCCGCGAAGTCAGGCTACACTCACGAGGTCCTGGGTCGGGAGACGAAAACAAGTTAATAAGTAGAGGAGGGTGTGTGCGTGCTGTTCACAGGGTCTTAATGTGCATCTGGAGGAGAGAGGGGCCGTCTGTCCCAAGCAGGGCTAGCTGGTCTCCAGGTGGGACTGACCTGCGGTCCTGCCCCTTCCCTCAGTAACTTCATCAGGGTGGGCGGCCAGCGGTGTAACCCGTGTCTGCCGTGAGGCCAGTGGGGGACCTTCGGGAGGGGGTCTCTTGATATTTGTGGGCCTGAGATGTGGGCTGTGACTGGAGCCTGGCCACGCCAGCCTCAGAAACCCCATGGCAGCGGGAAGCTGGCCAGCCGTGGGCCACTGCTGGGCCCGTTGCCACCTCTGCAGGGGCTGGTGTATGGGCCCCTTGAGTGGGAGCACCAGGCACAGGGCTGGGGAACAGCCGGCCATCGTGGGGGATGCTGGGGGTGGGCCGAACAGACCGTGGCTTCTCCCCTCCCTCCCAGATTCGACTTCTCCGTCACAGCGTTCGCCTTCCTGGGGCTGCTGGCTCTGGCCTTCAACATGGAGCCCTTTTATTTCATAGTGGTCCTGCGTCCCCTCCAGCTGCTGAGGTGATGTGCTGAGGCCTGGGGCTGGGAATGGTGGGCAGGGAAGGATGGGGAGAGCCCTGGGGCTGGTCTGGGGAGCGACCCGAAGGAGCGGGAAGGCCCGCAGGCCTGGTGTCAGAGGCGGCAACCCCCTGCAGGTGTACCCAGGGGCACTGTCTCCACCTGTGCAGGTGTGCAGACCACCCGCCTCCTCACATCCTGGGACGGGTCGCCTCTGATTGTGGGACAGAAACATGGCTCACGGCCCTGGTGACCTTGGCCTGTGCTGGTATCGGCTGTAGCCACAGAAACACACTTGTTCGGAGTCAAAAACCGGAGTTGGCTTAGGGACGCGAGCGCCTACCTAACCCCATGCTATTCTGGCCCAGTCTCTTGTCAAGAGAAACCCTCACTTGCTCTCAGCTTTGCCCCAGGGACCATCGTAAGAAATCAGTAAAAATGTGGAAAAATCCGTGGACAGTGTCCCTTACTAGTGAGGGATCTCGCTGTGTCCTCAGAAGCCTGCTTTTCCCCTAGAACATCCAGCTGTGGTCCCGTTCTGCCCAGTGCCCCTCCTGTCCTTCGTAGGGGGAGAGGTGGTGGTCAGGGGTGCGCTCTGCCACTCTCCTGGCTCCTGGGGTGGCTGCAGCCTTGGGCATCATTCGTGAGCCGTATGAAGAGCCACCGCACCTCCTTGCCTGAATCTTGCCCTGCATCCCTTCAGGGAAGGGCCCATCCAGCCCTGACATCCTGGCGCCGCCACCACCCGGGCCCAGGATGGCAGATCACCTGAGCCAGGCTGGCGGCTCCGAGGGAAGTCGGTGCTCAAGTGGCAGGGAGGCCCCGGCCCATCGTGCCCCACCTGGTGCTGTGGATGGTGGGGCTGCGGCCACGCCTGGCGTGTGTCAGTGACCGAGCCGTCTTCCCTCACTCAGGTTGTTTAAACTCAAGAAGCGTTACCGCAACGTGCTGGACACCATGTTTGAGCTGCTGCCCCGGATGGCCAGGTAATACCCCGCCTCTTGGCCCCCAGGGCCAGGCGTCGCGAAGCTTGTGCCCCCTCGGAGCGGGCAGCTGGGTGGTCTCGGCGGTGGGTGACAAGGAGTTCCGAGAAGGACTGAAGTCGAGGGTCTGACGGGTCTTCAAGGAGACCAAGAGCTTGACCACCACAGGTCTCCCTGGCTCCACTTTTCTCCACTGATCTGTCTGAAATATTTAGTAGGGAGGGCAGGGAGCCGTCAACTCACTTATGACCTGTGTCTACGTTCACAGGTAAGGGTCACCTGTGAGTCTACCTTCACAGGTAAGGGGTGAATCACTGGTTAAGGGGCATCTGGTAATAGAGTCCTGATTCGAGCCGTTTTCCACCCCAGACCTGAATCACCAGGCCCCTTCCCTGCAGGCACTTTCCAGCTGGTAAACCTGGCTAGGGGCATGCCTCTCCATCAGTCAGCTCAGGGGTCTGAGGACGCGGGGCTGCCGGGCGAGCTGGTCTCCCCGGCCTGGCCCTCCATCACCCCGTCCCCTCTGACCCTCCTCCCCAGCCTGGGCCTCACCCTGCTCATCTTTTACTACTCCTTCGCCATCGTGGGCATGGAATTCTTCTGTGGAATCCTCTACCCCAACTGCTGCAAGTGAGTATGATGCGGGGGCTCCCAGCCCTGCCCAGCCCGGGGCAGCCTGCATCTCCCAAGGAGCCAAGCCTCGGCCTCAGGGTCCCCAGGGACCACTCCAAGCCGCAGAACCCTGTAACGCCCTGGGACTCACTTAGCTTTGCTCTCAGGGCTTATGAGTTCAGTGCGGCAGCTAAGGGAGGGACCCGGAAGCAGACGGTCCTCTGTGAGGACATCTGAGCAAGTTTCATCCCCCATGAGCCACCCTCCAACCAGGCCTCCGTCCCCTCAGCCTGCGGGTTGAGCACTGGAAGCCAGTCCAGAACCAGGAGCAGTTTGGGGCCCGAGGCTTGAGTCTCATAGCTTCCTCCCACTTCTCTCCGGGAGACCTGGGCAGACACACCAGCTAGGGGTGGCCCTTTAGGATAAGACAGACACACGCGGGAAGGTCTTTGGGGCAGGGATGGAGAGTAGGGAACACAACCTCCCATGATCTCTCCCCTTCCCTCCCTCTTCCTCCTAAGCCACCACGATGAAGCCACGACTCCATCCAGTGTTCTCTTTAAAACTGGTCCTCATGGCCTCGGGCACTGATCAAGTTCCTAAAGACACTGGTAGCCAGTTTTGAGTGTCAGGCTAAGCTCAGAACCAGAGCCTACCGCAGTGGGTCACAAACTTTAGGGCACCTCTGAATCACCAGGGGAGCTGCTTAAAGGTGCCAGCTCCAGACCCCACTCTGTGCGTCTGACACAGCAGAAGGCTCCAGACTCTGCCTTCTGAAGGAGCTCTCTAGGGGCCCAAGGACCAGACTTGTCAAAACATCAGCCTGGTCATAGCCGGTCAGCCATAAAGGATTGGAAGGAGAGTAGCAAAGAAGCTCTCCGAACAGGGACACTGGTTAGAATAGAACAGAAAGTTCTGGCTGGGAGCTAGAGAGAGCTGATGAGGGGTGGACCCCGCTATAGGGTTGCTGCTGGGCACCCGGCCTCCAGGGCAGATCCCAGACCCGTTGTGGGGTGTCCAAAGGAGTTACTGCCTCTCTCTCCCCTCCCGGAGCACCCCCCTCGGGCTGCTGAGAGAAGCCCTAACCAGCAGCAGAGAAATGCCAAATAGAGGTAGATGGGGGGGCAAGTCTGGGGGTTCCCACCAGTGCCCTTGAAGTCAGGGAGACGGCAGGAGAGCCAGGGGGCTGGGCAGGAAACCAGGCTGGGCTAGGACAGAGGCTCGTCGATCAGACCTTGGTTCGCTTAAACTTTCTGTCCTCCATCGAGGGGACCAATTGTCTGTGATGTGTCTTCTGCTCCTCTGTCTTCCCCTGCCAGTACGAGCACAGTGGCAGACGCCTACCGCTGGCTCAACCACACCGTGGGCAACAGGACCGTTGTGGAGGAAGGCTACTACTATCTCAACAATTTCGACAACATCCTCAACAGCTTTGGTGAGTAGAGAGATGCCCACCCAGCGTGGGGTGCACCACTGTCCCCGTTCCCTGCAGGGATGTCCATCACGAGCTGGCAGAGGATGTACCCTTTGGGGGACAAGCCAAGAAGGCAGCCCTCGCTGTGAGGGAAGGGGTGGGGGGCGCTCAGGGAGGGCCTTGGCTGATCTTTCTAGAGCTTACAGCCCAAGCTGACAGACAGGTGCCTGGTACCCAGGATAGGCAGAGAGAGGCCACTTGCAACTCACTCTGCAAAAGCGAGCGTGATCAAGATGCTTCTGTTTCTCCCTTCCCTTTGGCAGTGACCCTGTTCGAGCTTACAGTTGTCAACAACTGGTATATCATCATGGTAAGTTCTGTCAGCTCCTGGGGAAGTCTTGCCATCATTCTCTGAGGCTGGCTCTGGGTCCCTCCTCGCCCAGTGTGGGGTGCATGGCTCTCCCCATTCCCTGCAGAGGCGGGGATCTGCGGGAAGGCCACAGTGCAGGCTGGGTCCCAGGAGCCACCCCCTCCACAGTTGCTGAACGTGGCCTTTGTCCCCGCTTTCCGCACATTCCCCAGCAGCCAGGAGGGGCCAGTCAGCCTCTGCATCTCTGTCCTGCCTCCCAACGCTGTGGGAGAGGCCTTTCAGCTGGGAAATAGTGTGCCAAGGGTTGTTGGCTAGTTGATGGGTTTTTTTTTTTTTTCCCATTCCTTAAACTCTTCCACGTGCCATCCCTACAGGGGACAAAGACCTTCTGTATTAGTCCTGAACCCTGTTAGTTCTGGGGTGCGTCCAGGCCTTAGGAGCACCGAGGAATTTTTAGACCCAGGGGAGCGAGGTCCCCTTCCTCTGTCTCCCACAACTGAAGGCAAAGCAGGAAGGATCTGTAAAGAGCTGGGGGCCACGGAGAAGCCTGAGGAGACAGCGACCTGGCCTCCCCCCCCCCGGGCCCTGGCTCACTGGTGGCTTCCCTCTGTCTCCAGGAAGGTGTCACCTCTCAGACCTCCCACTGGAGCCGTCTCTACTTCATGACCTTTTACATCGTGACCATGGTAGGTCCGGGGCCACAGAACACCCTCCATCCTCCATCCTCCAAGCCAGTAGCCACCTCTGACCCGGCTCTGTCGGCTCACTCCCCCTACTCTCCACGCCCGGCCAGGTGGTGATGACCATCATCGTGGCCTTCATCCTCGAAGCCTTCGTCTTCCGGATGAACTACAGCCGCAAGAACCAGGACTCGGAAGGTCCGTGCGAGCGGCTGTGCAGGGGCCTTTGCCGTCTGTCCGGCTGTCAGCTTTTCGACTATCCGCTCCAGCTGTCTGCTTGTCCAGTCTTCGGGCAGTTCGGCCTACAGATCTGCCTTCTCTTTCTAGATCTCTTATTTGCATTGATTTTCAAATAATGACAGAAGAATGCTCATGGTCTCATTTTAAAAAGAACAACAGTACACGTCAGAATCCAGGAAAGTCGCAGGCTTCTTGTGAACCTAGCGGCCCTCGGTCCCACCTTTCCCGTCTCATCCTAAGCTGTCTCCCCTTTTTGTTACCACCTCTGCATTTCTATATGACAGGTTTGCACTGTGGTTCTTGGTTTAAGTGGTGTAACTGCTGTTGGCTGCAGAGCCAAACGGCACTTCCTTCTGCAGCTGACGACCCCCACTTTAATAACTGCCCCCCCTTTTTCCGGATTGCAGAGCCTTCTATGTGCCGATCCTTCATTCTTTCCAGATTCTCCGTCAAAACGGCCACATCCCTGTTACTTGTTTCCAAACCTCTATCCTATCAAACTACCTGATCGTTTTCTTTCTGCTCGGAGAGTCCCTCCTGAAACCCTCCGTCCCCTGTAAGCTGCTGGCCTGACCAGTGTTCCTGGCATCCCCAGCAAAGGGAGGGGAAGGGACGTGGGTTCCAGATGGCAAGAGGCGGGGGGGGAGGCATGTCACACAGATCCAGAGTTTTGCGTGGAGAGGGAACCTTAAGCCCCCGCCCAGGGGCAGGAGGGAGGATGGCTAAACCAGACCGAGCCAGACCTGGGGCTCTCAGCCCCAGGCCCCCTCCCACTGCCACCCTTCCCTCCTGCAGTTGACGGTGGCATCACCCTTGAGAAGGAACTGTCCAAAGACGAGCTGGTCGCTGTCCTGAAGCTCTACCGGGAGGCACGGGGAACCACCTCGGACGTCCCCCAGCTGCTCCAGATCCTCTCCCAGATGGAGAAATATGAGGTGAGGAGGGACGGGGCCTCACCCGATGGAGAAGCAGGTTGTAGCTTAGTGCCCTCCCTCCCGCAGTGTCCGTCTCCTCAAGTTGTGGTGACACTTTTCAGGGGGCACTGTTGCAGAAGCCAGAGGAGCAGGCGCTAGGTCCCTGCAACCTCTCTGTTCTTTTCTAGCAAAACACCTTGGTGTTTCTGGGACGGAGATCAAGGACCAAGAGCGATCTGAGCCTAAAGATGTACCAGGAGGAGATTCAGGTAGGAGCACCCCGACCACGCTACCCAGAGCCTCGCCCCCAGCTCCTGCCGGGAGAGGTCCTCGCCCCTGCTCAGTGGGGGCTGCTCTCTGGTCCCCATTTGAGTTGCAGGGGGTGGGGCTTGGTGGGGAACTACTGGATCATCTGTTGTGCCTGGGACTTAGGTTTGGGGGCTTGGCCTTGAATCCTTGATGCATTCCCCGACATTGGCAACCCTCCTGTCTGGTCTAACACATAAGTCACTGAACCTCACCTCAGTGTCCCACTCTGAGCCAGAACCGCAAAGGAAATGTGGACGGCAGGAGACATAGCGGGCAGAGGGAGCAAGGGGGCCTTGGTGAGCTGCCCGGGACCAGCCTCTTTAAGGAGGGTGTCCTCTTCCCACATCCAGCCAAACACTGCCCGATGGGAACAAGGGCCTGAGAGAAGGGAAAAGTCAAATAAGTCTTTTTGCAAAATCTCTCAGCCTTCCCGCTTTGGCAGCTAAGTGAAGTAGCTTGCAAAGCACCATGCGAGCTGGCGGTCTGCCTTCCAGACAGCCCACGGGCCACGGGCCATGCATCCACTCAGGGTCCCACCTCCGTCGCCAGCCATTGTGACTATGCTGTTTTCAGGCTGGAAACCCTTGTTTCCCTGGGATGGTGGTGACCAGTGTCCATGCTCGAAAGGCTAGGAGGCTGCCGTCCCCTGCAGTGACTCACATTCTCTATAAAACCACAAAGGGTTTGGGCAGATACCTGGTGGCTCAGCTGTCACAGAGATGAGGAACTAATATGAGCTTTGGTGTCATAAAAGCTGGCTTTGATTCCAGGCTCTGTGACCTTGGGCAAGTTACTCAGACAATTCACATCTGAAAGAGGACACTCTGCCCCATGGAGCAAGCGAGGCGACGGCCCCAGACAGACATGCACTCGGGTCCCATCCTGGCCTCTTGGGCCCTGCTTGTCCGCCTGCTCCCAGCCTCTGTAAAAGGAGGGGGCGCAGAACTGGGCCTCCTCAGCATTTTTTAAACTCTAAAAAAAAACATAGGGTTTACTTTTAAAATTTCTTAATTACCTGAATACCTCTCTGTCTCTGACAATGTTGGATGATGTAACAGTAATGGTCTTAGGCGGGTGAGCTGTTTGATGTTTTTCAAAATGCCCCCACGGCCTCTGTGGAGGGCAGCAGACGCAACAGGGGAGTTACAAGAGGCACCCAGCTTCATACCACATTATGTAACTTCTGAGTCTTGAGTGTCCCAGGTATAAAATGAGGACAGTTTCTGCCCAGTGGAAAAAGGGATAAATATAAGGGATCAGGGGGACGTCCCTTTATGACTAACACATTACGTTCGCAAGTAAAGAGTGCTTATTACCACCCAGACTCATTTAAAGAGATGCGAATGCCAAGTGCAATTGACAAGGAGATTTGCAAACCTCTAATTGAAAAGGGAAAGGCGGCACTGTAAATCTTCTATTTAGGGCCGTATTCAGAATTCCCAGCGTGTCTGGTGTGGGCGGCGTTCTGTCCCAACTGGGCGGGGCCAGCAGCCCCGCCTCCTCTGTTGGGGCTCCTCCCACTGCCCACTGTGGGCTGGAGGGTCACAGCACTGGGGGACCCCGTCAGGCTGCGGGCTGGGCAGGGCAGGGCGGGGCGGCCCTCTCAGCACCCCCGTCTGCTCTCTGCTTTAGGAGTGGTACGAGGAGCACGCCCGGGAGCAGGAGGAACAGCAGCGACAGCTCAGCGGCTGCGCTGTCCCCACCACCCAGCAGACTCCAGGCAGCCGCCAGCGCTCCCAGACCATCACCTAGCCCCAGCCTGCAAAAGCCATCTCTTCTATGCAATAACACAATAGTATTATTTACTACAATGTATCAAAATAATGTGTGGGTATATATATACATATTTTATATATATACACACATATTCATATATATGCACATATTTATATATAGAAAGAAGAAAAGTCAGGCAGACAGGACGCGGTTTGGTTTGTAACCACCTTGCCCTGTTAACCCCAGTGGTCAGTTTCATTCGGCAAGGGGGTCCGGCCACTAGGAGCTCTCTGTAGCACAGAAAGCTCCAGAAGGCCCCTTTCCAAGAGCAGTTGAATAGATTCTGCCGATCTTTGCAGGGCTTGCCTTTGAAGTGGGCCAGCTGTCCCTAGGACAGCCCCACACCGTCTTCCTGACGCCGCATTCCGAATCCCATCCCAGCCGACAGCTAGTTTCCCCACTAACGTCGCCTGTGGCCCATGTCCCGGGGTTTGTGTGTCCTGCTTTGGGGACAAAACCACTTAGGAAGGAAAAGAATCCATATCCTCAGGTTGAGTATCTCTGTGTGATCATGTGATAGGGCGTTCCTTTGGGGGACCAGTGCCTAGGACCTACTGAGAGAGTAATTCAGGGCTAGGGTTATTCCTGGTGTCGGATCTCAGCCCGTGCTGGGCCGTGAGAGGCTGCATCCTGGTTCCCTGAGCCTCCTCACCCTCACTTCTTTCAGTTTCAACCATTGTTGTTGAAAATGCTCCTAAAACGGCCTTGGGACTCAAGGTCCAGCGGTAAGAAGAAAGAGGCCAGGCCGATGGCTGAGGCCCAAACCAAGTCCTGAAACGGGCTTTCGCCACTAAATCCCTTTTCCTGGGGATGGTCCTGTTCAAGCAAAAAGACATTTTGGTTAGTTCAGGATTCTGCTAAAGACAACAGCAGATCCTTCACTGGCGTGGGAACGGGGGCAGAGAGCACCGACATGCACGGCGGGCTGTCCAGCGCAGCCCTGTGGGTGATCCCACCCATCCGCTTGGCCAGGTCGCCCTCACCCGGGGCAGTCACCCTTTGTGGATTCAGCTGAGGCAGCAGTGAGGGACTCGGCTCATCCCAAAGTTTCTGCTCCCAGGAGTAGGTTGAGGTGACCCCCTCGGTTTCCTGAGGTCCCCTGGGACTTTGGGGTTGTTCTCTGAGATCAGAGCGTGGTCAGGGTAGGCCTGGTGCCTGAGCCCAGAGCAGACCGTGGGGGTTGGCAGTCCTGGGGAGCCGTGGTGGTGGTGGCAGCAGAAGCAGGGTCAGGACGGCGGGGCTTTGGCTCAGCCCTCCCGGGCGACAAGCCCAGCGCGGTGCATTGGATGAAAGGGGTCCGGAGGGAGCGAGCAAGCTGCCCCCACTGGGCGTCCTGCTCCAACCCCAGCTTTCCAGCTGCCTCGGCACCTTAGAAGATGGGTGGGCAGGCTTCCCCTCACAATGTCCTCTTCCCAGCCAGGCAGGCGCACAGCTCCTGGATCCCCAACCCTGTGTCCCCAGGTGTGGCCTCAGTAGGGGCTGGCCGTAGCCAACGCCCCACAGCTCTGCCCTTCACCAGGGGACACGTGATGGGTGATTTTGTTTTTAAAGCACAGCCCTTTGGGGAAACGACGAATCACTGAGAACCACTGAGATTCCCAAAGGGAATCAGGAGATGGACATTGTCCTCTTGGTCTCTGGAGGGCCACCTGCCGGGACAGGCAGCTTGGCACTAAGCCCCAGGCCAGAACCCCTTTGGCTCTCCAGAGAAGGAACTTTATTTGCACAACTGGGTGCCTTTTAGCTTTTCTGAATTGAAACGGGCATTTTGGAAGCAGGAGTCAAGGGGCAGCTTCTAAAGGAGGGTGAGTCCTCCAACCTCAGCGTCTCGTTCTCGTCCCTGCCTCCGCCTCCAGGAGGCTGAACCCTGGGAGGGGCGCCAGGGAAGCTGAGTCCCCCCCCCCGCCCACCCCCAGGGGGAAGGCTGGGCCCAGGAAGGGTGGGGTCTAGTCCCGGCCTCCCAATCCTGCCCTGGGAAAGGCTGTTTTTAGCCAGGGCAGGATGAAGGCCTGATGGACCTGACTCCAGCCACTGTCATTGAGGTTAAGGACAGCTGCCCCCTCGGCATCACTGGGGGACCTTGGCAAGTTGACCCTCTGACTTGCACACAGGCCATGGAGCAGGGAGCAGGTGTCACCCAGGGCTGTGAGCTGTGTGGTACCCAGGACATCCAGCACAGACACCCTCACCTCCCGTGTCATAGTTGAACGAAACCACGGGAGACTTGCCGACTGGCCCTGGATCATACCACCTGTCAGTTGCCATGGTGGCCCTGTGCCTCTGCCCTGCTTTGGGGAGAGATGCCATCCGGCCCCTCCTCCTCGCTTCCCTCCCCCAACCCAGCCTTACTCCACACCACGCGACAATCATTTTGTACCAAGAGCGGGAGCAACGCTGTTAAGGTTTTGTATATTGGTGATTTGTTACCTAGAAAACCCATGATGTCTCCGGATTTCTGGCATATTAATAAAAGAGCCTCTGCTTTGTATCTGTGACTGCTGCCTCGTGACTTCCACCAGGTACAGACCCATGGCTTCTGGGATCGTGGGGACAGGGAGAGGTCCTGTCCGTGGCCATCCCTGACCCCATCTCAGCTGCATCCCTAGACATGCCGCAGAGCCTTCGGCCCTGAAACCAGCCACTCATCACCTGGCCCAGATTAAGAAGAACCAATTAACAGTTGGGTGTTATTTTCCGTACACTTGAAATATTTAATAATTTTTTCATTGGAAAAAAAAAAGACAGTTGAATCCCTTTACTGCTGGCATAAGGCATCGAGCAAATGGGAGAGCTGCTTAGTGAAAGGGCAGGTCACTGGCTGACAGCAGGATGGCGCTAGGGAGCCCTTATCACCCTCCCGGGGGCTTGCAGGCACTGGGACCCCAGCCAGGGCTCCCCGTGAGGTAGGCACAGGGCACAGTCAAACTGCCTCCTGTTTTGCAGCCGGGGAACCTCTGAAGCCCGCAGACGGTCCTATAGGGGCAGCATCTAGCGCTGGGCCATCCAATATGTCAGCCACCAATGGGCCAGTGCTGCTGGAGCAATGTATATTATCGTTCATTTTACCTTTTTCTTCTGGCTTTAGTAATATAGCAGCTAGAATATTCAAAACTGGGTGTCTCATATTCTATTTCTGTCGGATGGCGCAGCTCTAGAACTCAGCCCGCATTGGCCCGAGGCCCACAGCGTACCTGGTGCTCTGTCTGTCGGGTCCAAGTTGCCCTGACTCCTTAAACTCGGGTTTGGCAGCCCTTTGAGCCCTGAGAAGACACAGGAAGGCAGCAGGGGGCGACTACGGGGAGAGGCCGGGGCCTCCAGCCCTGAACACTTTGGGGTCTTCCAACACCAGCCCGGAAGGCACCCAGACAAGCATCCCCTCACCCCAGACCCCAACTTTGAAGAAGCTCTGGAGATAATGCAAGGAAGCCTTCTACCTTCTGTCTGGAACTGTCACAAGGAAACCCAGTCTCCACAGTCCCAGAAATGAGGTTGAGTCCTCTCGCTCTACACAGCAGTGACTGGGACGCTTCGGCAGAGGGCACAGCCCCGCAGAGCCCACCTCCGGTCCCCGCCATGCACACGGGAACAGAAGGCAGGCCATCTTCCATCCTCCGTCTCACCACCTGCAGTGACGCCTCCCGACCACCAGGCGGACCCAGACACGGCTTCATTCACATGCTTTTCAAGTGAATCACTCCAAATTCTGTGAGCAGGGCCACCACGAGGAAAGTCAGGTAGAAGAGGAGCAGGCAGCAGCCGTAGACTTTGTTCAGCTGGAAGCACTGCAGCGGGACCGAGACCAGGGAACAGACGAGGCTGAGGCCCAGGGTGCCGGCCAAGACCCACACCAACAGGCCATCCGGCTCCAGCTGCGGGCAGGGGAGGAGACATGGGGAGAGAGGCCAGGTCACTGTAGGCAACAGTCAAGGTGACGCTTGAGGGCTCCTCGTGGGGGGCCAGGGAGGGACTTTTGGCCTGCCCTGTGGGGTGGCAAACCCCACCTTGAAGTTCCATCTTTAAAGCCACCTAGTACATGGTAATTTGTCAGGGCAACCCTAGGAAGCTAATACACATATAGATGGAGGAACTGTTTTGAGACCGTCTCCAGGCTCATGGTCATGTTCATGCTCTTCTCTGTCCAACCCAGGTGCACCACATGTCCTGCCATCTTGGCTTTCTTCACGTCCTATTTTTAGCTCTCGCTTTTACTTTGCCTTTTTCCCAATAGTTTCACATTGTGGATTTCCACTAAAACAAAGACTTCTTCCCTAAGTCCCCTCAGATTTACTAGTCTGATCACTATTTTGTTTTGGACATAATAAAAAGGGGACTTTGTAAGTACCCCCAAATAAATACTTAGATGTTAAAAAAATTTATATTTATATATGTATTACATACAGTCATTGAAAAATTCTCCAGCAATACAGAACAAAAGGAAGTGAAATTGTCCCCTCCCATGTCCCTCCCTTTCAGACTTTGCATCTAACATATTTGGATGACGTAAAACTAGGTACCATGCTAGGTGTGTTCCATACACCATACATAGCCTTTTATCTCCCCATCCTGGAAGGGGACCATTACAATCATCACCTATCCACAGCCAAGGAAACCGGGTACAGTGGACCCTTGAACAACACCGGTTTGAACTGCATGGGTCCACTTATACGCAGATTTTTTTCAACAACTGGAGTACCTGTATTTTCATTTCACAAGTCTTTAAGCATGGGGGAAATGTTTGTGTTTGATTACAGATCACAATATGTGGAATCAAAAGTGTTAGGGTTTACAGAGTAGGGTACAGCTCAAGTGGTAGAGCGCATGCTTAGCATGCACGAGGTCCTGGGTTCAATTCCTAGTACCTCCTCTAAAAATAAACCTAATTACTGCCCCCCAAAATATAATAATAAAGTAAAAAAAAAAGAGCTAGGGTTGAATCACGATTCAACTATTTCAGTGTCCTTCCCCTGGGTGAGTCATTTATCAATTCCTTTGCTTTTGAGGCAAACAGCAGTAGGCAGGTTTGCAACTGCACAGGGGAGTCAGCACTGCGAACTCCCACATTTTTCAAGGGTCAACTATAGTATGTACACAGAGCCCAAATCCAAAGTCCATCCATTCTTAAACCAGAAATGGGATCGTACGGGAGATACGTGTTTAAGAGCAAACTGTTCTTCAG